CTTTAGCTCAAACCATCCAACCTTGGCAACATCCTTGTAAATCTTTTCTGAACCCTTCCTAGTTTATCAACATCTTTCCTATAGCAGGGAGACCAGAATTGATCACAATATTCTAAAAGTGGCCTACCAATGTCCCAACTCCTATACACAATGCACTGACCAATGAAGGCAAGCATGCCAAACACCTTCTTCACCACCCTGAGTACCTAACACTCCACTTTCATGGAACTAAGCACCTGCACCACTACGTCTCTTTGTTCAGCAACACTCCCCAGGACCTTACCATTAAGTGCATAAGTCCTGCCCTGGTTTGCCTTATCAAAATATAACACCTCACATTTATCTAAATTAAACTCCATCTGTCACTCCTCGGCTGGCCCATCTGATCAAGGTCAAGTTGTACTCTGAGATAAACTTCTTCACTGTCCACTACACCACCAATTTTGGTGTCATCTGCATACCTACCATATCTCCTATATTCGCATCCAAATCATTTATATAAATGATAAAAAGCAGTGGGCCCGCACCAATCCTTGTGGCATACCGCTGCTCACAGGCCTCCAATCTGAAAAGCAACCCTCTGCCACCACCCTCTGTCTCCTTGCTTCGAGCCAATTTTGTTTCCAATTGCCTAGCTCCCTCTGGTTTCCACATAATCTAACGTTGCCAACCAGTCTACCATGCAGAACCTTGTTGCACACCTTGCTAAAGTCCATACAGACAACGTCCGTTGCTCTGCCTTTATCAATCTTCTTTGTCACCTCTTCAAAAATAGTTTAATTGCTCTGTCATTTCTTTGTTTCCCATTATAAATGCATCCATTTCCGACTGAAAGGGACCTACATTTGTTTTCACAGTTTTTTCTTTTTCCATACTTCTATAAAGTTTTTATGATCCACTTTAAACTTGAATGTTTACTCTCATGCTTTGTTTTGCTCCTCTGAATCCTCCTTTGCTGAATTCTAAATTTCTCCCAGTCTTCAGGCCTGCTACCTTTTCTTGCAAATTAATATTACTCCTCTTTGGGTATTTTATCCTTAATTTCTTTTGTTAGCCACTAGTGAGCCACTGTTCCTGTCGTGTTCTTTTGCCTGAATGTTATGTACAACTACTGCAATGCATGCATTCATTCTTTCCAAGTCTTTGCCTACCCACTGTTAAGCCTTTTAATGAAGTTACCCAATCTATTCACCCACATTCATTCAGTTTCCTTCGTTTATATTTAGGATTCTAGTTTCGAATTGGAGTACTTCATTTTCTATCCTATCAAGAATTCTGTTATGTTATGGTACTTTTTCCTCAAGGACCTCAACAAAATTATTAATCAACCCCTTCTCACTGTTTCACGCATCATAATTTCCTGTTTGATGCTATCCCCTACCTGTCCGTGACTGTTTGGAGGCTTATAGACAACTCCTAATATTTTCTGCACCTTCTTACTTCTTGGCTCCACCTTGGCTTAGTCTACACTTAACTTTCTGTGACAGTATCTCTCTTATTCTTGCATGGATTTAATTTTCATTAACAATGCCATCTCACCTCTTTTTCCTTTCTGCCTGTCCCTCTGAAAGATTGACTATCCTTGGATGTTCAGTCCTCAGCCTTGATCATTCTGGCAACCATTTCTCTGTAATCCTAATCATATCGCATCCATTTACAACTATTTACGCTGTTAACTCAACCCCTAATTGCAAATGCTCTGTGCATTCAGACATAATACCTCTGGAACAAGAGACAACAAGGTGCAGAGCTGGATGAACACAGCAGGCCAAGCAGCAACATAGGAGCAGAAAGGCTGACGTTTCGGGCCTAGACCCTTCATCAG